TCCGTGGGATTTGAACCCTAGACCTGCTACTTGGAGAGGGTGACAACTTGACCACTTCACTAAGCCGCCACACCTCTATTTTTTGATTTTTATAAGTAATAGCATGTGATAATTAGCATTGCATGGTTTCGTCGGGTATCACTAGTTGCAATCCTACTTGTTATCTGACATATTTCCTTTGACAGAATTTTCGTCAAAAAATTTTATATTATCTTATGTGCACTATATGAATTGCATGCGCTGATTATCAAATCGTTCTAATTATGCTCCAAATTTTTTTATCATATTTGGGTTAAGTTCAATGACTTTTTGATTCTATAATAAGATATAAGGTAACTCGATATGTTGTAAATCGGAATAGATTAGTTATGTAACCAAAATTATGGGTTGGAATGGGTCAGCACATGCTAAGTAAATTACTAATAGTTAGTTATTATTATTGATTAATGGTTTTAATGCTAATGTATTCTGATTCTAAATTTTGAAATTTTAACTGATCTGCTAATTTGGTTGCACAACTAATATATCTGTAAATTACATGATCATAATATATTGGATTTTTGTTGACAATACAATGTGAGACTATGGTTATCTGAAAGGCGAATTAAGGTTACATATGTAAGAATGGTGTTGATAGATAAAATGATGAATAAAGGAAATCAACAAAGCAATATTTTCGGAAGATCAATAATTGTTATAATAACTAGAGATTGCAAATGCGGGTGGCTTCACCGCCTGTTTTAATTATTATATATAAAGGCTAATTGTATTTTCATATTTAAAATAATTTGAATAAAATAATAAAGTGTAACATGATAGTAAGATTCTCAACTTGAATACTCTATGGATTTTCTAGTTAGTTAGTTAATTAGGGTTAGCGTTAGGATGTGTATATGATAAAATCAACCTGAAAATGAGCTCTTTTATATAAATTCTGAATCCACTTAAATTCTGTTTTCACTTACTAGTGCTTGGATCCAGATGTATAACCAGATATCTGGATAGACATCCTAATTTAAATTTTCTGATCCGGATGTATAAACAGATATTTGTTAGCTATCCGGTTTCTAATTCAGATTATATCCGGGTTTAATATTTTACAGACCGTGAAAGTGTATCGAACATGTTTAATGTGCAAATTTTGTATAATACTTTATATTATCATACTAGTCAGTTCTTCAAATTAATAATGATGATACTACGTAATATCATAGATTACAAGTTAATCACTTAAGTTACTATATAAATAGTATTTTCAATTATTAATAAACTTTTTACCTTTTCACTCTCTTTTGAATACAATCACAAGAATGATTTTTTTTTCAAAGATTTATTATTACAAAAATTTACTTGAGCGGTTATTTAAATGTTAAAGGTATTACATTATAGCTTTATGTATTATATTTCAAATAACAAATTCATCTATATTTACTAAGACAAGTTTATTATATATCTATTTAGTCTTTGCTTAACCCAATAAATTTTCTAAAATTTATATATAATATTGTTCATAAAAAATAAAAATATATATATAATGTTCAAGAAAAATATATATATAAGAATGTTCAAAAAAAAAATAAATAAAATAATATTGTTCAAGAAATAGTCAAAATAGTGTCTAGCATCTTTTACAATATACATTATTTTAATCGTGGTTCAAATATGGGACCCAAAATACTGATATTTTTTTTAAGAAAAAGAATTCTTTCGAATAAGCTTGTATTAATTGATGTATGCTTTTCTGTTATTAAATTATCTGCACTTGAGAATAAGCGCTTACTGGGTGTTGATGTAGAAGGTATAGCCAAATATTTGCGTGCCAGATTGGCAAGAACTGGAAATTTTTCTTAAATATCTTTCCACCATTAAGTGAATTGGTTGTAGTTGGCATTTGATCAAGTTTAAGGTATTTGTCTACTTCATTTTTATCTGCTATTAAATCTGATCCAAACATTATTGAAAAAAGATTCATTTGATTTTTATTTTGTTCTACGTTCACTAAGTTAGTAGTAATTTCATTTCTAGCACTTAATGAATTATATTTTTCTCACAAAAGATTAATAGCCTTATTACATTCCCAACTATCTAATTTTTTCATTGATTTACAACGTGGATCGAGTAACATTGCAATTTAAAAACAATCAAAAGGTGCATCTCAATAATAATCTAATGCTTTGTATAAACTTTCTTTTACTTTTTCAATAAGATTATCTGTATCTTGAGGCTAATTAAATTTAAACTTATCTCCTTTAGCTGTAGTAATTATTTCGAATTCTTCATCTATGTCGACTATATCCTCTTCTTCATCTTCTTCAAAAATAGTTGACATATTTGTTAAATTAAGATTCTCATTATTTATACTCATCAACAATGATATACAATTTCTAGTAAGAGTGATGATAGCTGGCCACATAAAACTAAACATGGAATAATTACTACCTCCTAGTAATTCTGTAATCTCAGCAAAAGGAGCCAAAATTACAGTTAATTCTTCAAGAACTCTCCACTCTTCTTCTGTAATCATTAAGAATTTTAGCCGAATAGCATCTTTACAAATATTATAATCATTATCTGCATTCATAGTTGCTTCCATTAATTTAATTGCATGCTTAATTTGGAGAAGCCGCTTTCATACAATATATAAAGAGTTCCAATATGTTGAAGTATCAGATATTGTATGAAGAAACTCTTGTTCATTGTTATTAATTATTTCTTTTGAAATTTTTAATAATTCTTGTGCTTTTCGTAATTGCTTGTTTTGTTTAGGCATAATCAAAAAGTTAATTAACCTTTTTGCACATTTTATTAAAACTTCTGCAGGTTTCAACTCTTTACCAATATCATATGGGCAGTACAAGGAATCTGCTCTATATCCATTAAATTTATAGCCTTAATCATGTTTGCGGCATTGTTGGTGGTAATTGAAATTACCTTCTCAGAAAGCCCCCAGTTATTAATCACTTCCTCTAATTCAGTTTTAATACTTACCTCATCATGAGGATATGGAATATAATTTAATAGCAAGTATAACCTCTTTTAATTCATAATTAGAGTTAATAAAATGGCAAGTAATGCCTATATATCCACTTTTAAAATGTGCAGTCCATAGATCACAGGTTAATCTACACATTTTAATTTCCATTGCTAGAAGAGTTTTAAGGGATTCTACTGAACTATTATAGGTTTGATAAATTAGTGCTTTTACATGTTTATTAGATGGAAGTTCATAATATAGATTTAATACATGAACAAATTTAATAAATTCATAATATAGATTTAATACATGAACAAATTTAATAAAGCTTTCACTTTTTAAGACATAAAGAGGTTGCAAATTTGTAACTATCCATTTTACCAAAGCATGATTGATAGATTCTTTTTGACGAATATTTTGTCCACTGGCACAATGAAACATTTCAGTAATTGTTGGTTGTGCGATTATCTCAATAGGTTTGATAGATTTAGTAATTCTATATACATTTAAATGTGTTTGGAAGTTACCAATTGAACCTTGAGTCTTAACTAACTGTTCACATTCTCATTGTCCATTTGGTGCCTTTTTACTTTTTATAATTACAGTACAATTTCCATGTATTTTCCATTTTTGTGATAGACATCTTTTGCAAAAATGTTGCCAAACCCAGCTGGAGTTTTTTTATGTTTTAGTATAAGATTTTTATTAGAATAGTTTGGATTATTAGAATGGTCAGTATCACTAGTTTCATTAGAATCATCTGTATTGTTTGCATCAATATTATCTCCACTTAATGATTCATCGGAAGTATCATTATCCTCAGGATTGGTATCAGAATTTGATAATGTATTGGAGTTAATATGGTCTTTAGACTTTTATTTTTTGATGCTTGTTATTTTGTTAAAAAATTTGTTTGAACAGTATATCTGAAATATCGAACTTTAAATAGACTGATAACAAACCATTAGCTTTATTTGGAAATATATTACTTAAACAGTAGGTTTTAAATTTCAATAAAAAAAATTTTGATTATAATTACTAATCAAATTATCTCTATTATTTGAATTTGAGATATATTTTATGATTAGTATCTAGTCTTATATGGTTTCAGTTTATTTACAATATACTGATGTTCGATTAATTATACATATGTATTTACAATGAACTGATATTTAATTATATATATGTAAAAAACTCATTCTTTTATAAAGCATAATTAAAACTGGTTTACTAACAGTATTTTGAAATACTTTTGGTAAATCGGTCATTTTGAAATAAAAAAATGCTAAAAATCAAGAGCTTTTAAAGAAGTTTGTGTCAGATCAAAATTTCAATTCTAAATCTCATTAAGGTCAGAGTGAAACCTTGTATTAGAGTAAAAGTGAGTATTAGAGATGTTATAATTATTTTGATCTGACACAAATACTAATTTAATTTACATTATTTATATAGTATATCAGTTTTCATGCAGATCAGGAGGGTAAATTTTTTACTATGAAATTTAAGTGATCAACATCTATATGATTTTCTTAATTTACATAGTAAATTGCAAAGGTAGGTCCCCTTCAAATATCATTTTCAGGGGTTTCTCAAAAGGAAATCGTATTTGTATAACAATGTATAGTAGATTATTTCTACAAATACTCTTCGTTGTATAAGTTTAAAGAAAATAATAATAAAGCTGAGAAGAATCATGTCTCCAAAGTTGGCGTTTTGTTTTACTTTTATATACATAGTGCTTGTTTTATTTTACTTTGAAACCCTTTTTAAAGCTCAATTTACAAGCCTCTTGACAATTATAAATTGTTAAAAAGGTTATAAGACATTGCAGGTATTTTAAAACGACGAGTAATTGCAAGCTAAATTAGTATAGCCGTTTATATAGTTTAATAACTTAAAACTTCTATTTTTAAAATTTAGATGAAATAGACAGAACTATTACTAACAAATTAATTTTTTAACTAATAATTCTTTAAAATCTCAATAATCGAAACTAAGCTTATTATAAATAGATTACTATATTAGAAGTTCTTATATGTTAAAAAAAAATAAAAAAGTAAAATTATACTGTATTTTTCAAAATTAAAAAATAATAAAATAATTAAGAATCCCGATTTATAATTTTTATTCTTAACTTATTCTAAATACATAATTACAAGGTCTATTTTTTATTGAGCTGCTAAAATTGACCAAAGTATAAGTTTTGTATTTCTGTATTTTACATC